AAATTGTGCCTCTGATGTTTGTTCAACAGGTAACCAAAGCTTATTTGGATCTATCAGGGCTGAATATCCTAAAAGGTCTGTCAGACCAGTGGAACTTCCAGCACGTGTAGATGAGGTAAATCAATATATTATTAAGTATTCATTATCAATAGATAGACATTATTACTAATAATACTGCCCCCATCTTGAATATCAAAGGGTATATCAAGGGGTATATCAAGGGGTATAGCAGACTATCACATAGAATGTCTCCAAAAATTACTTTCACCACGTCCCTGCTTTCACTGATAATTTAATGTCGTTCTTTAAAATTTGAGTTCTATAGCTTCCAAATGTTTTTGTTTTTCGATGTTTTTTCGCGTTTGTAAAACAGTGAGRGCATTGTGAGAGCCGTAAAGTCTACAAAGTTGTTGTTTAGTGACCCCTCGGTACCTTGTTTCTTAGATACTGAAAACAATAGCATTCAAGATGGCGGTAGTATACGGTCTATAATGATCATTACATTATCGCAATTATATGATTCAGACRTTTGTATGTAGTTCTGATTGCAAGTCATTGCCTGATTACTTACGCATGCGCAATGATTACAATCAACAGGTTGAGGATGCGTTGAATTCCATGTCCCAACTACTTGCAGAAGCATCAGATTTGCAAACTGCTTTTGCTCGTGGTGATATACGCATTGAAGAGCCAGTTGCTGCCACAGAAATAAACTCACCTGACGTCACTGTTGATGTTGGTGTTCAGTCATGCAGTGAAAATGCCAAACCTGCGGCTGACAACCTGGAAAACAAGACCCATGGAGGTGAAAAGGAGGTAATTATTAGTAGGGTTCTGATAGAACCTTTCAATTTCTTTAAGAATTATAATTTTGTGAATCGAGTCCCATTTTTCAAGATGGCGGGCGCATTATTCTCCGAAACTCCTGATGTATGTGTCGCTTGAAAGCAATGTTTAAAGTGTAAATTTATGTTTATCGTATTTTTGGTTTCTTTTCTGGGTCGATTCTGGATAACAATTAATAGTTTCACAAACATTTTTTGTAGGTACATCAATCATGCAGTCTTGAGGAGATATTTGGTCTTGATCTATCTGATACCAAAGATCTCTTAGAGGACACATATAACGATATAGACATTGACACCATGTGTAATATGTACCTCCCTCCAGAGGTTCCGTCATCTGACAATGATGTCAGTGAAGTGMTCTCCAGCAATGAATTCTCAGAGCTGATGGAATTGCTTGACAACATTGAGCCTGAAACACTTGTTGGTCAGCAGAGCTCTGAGACAAATATCGCTGTGAGTAAGCCATCCAATGGTGYGTYAGGCAAAGAGMCAACGCCTACACCCTCAGAACCATTGGATGAATATGTACCTGATATGTTCTTATTCTCAAAGACGGAACCACAAATCAAATTTGATCTATTTGATCATGACGTTGCTGAAAGCTTGACCACGTGTTCAAACGTCAGGCATGACGTCACTTCCTCAAGGAAGAGGAAACGTGGTTCCAGTGACGCAGTCAGCAAACGTCAAAGATTAATTAAGCTGCTGGACAGAGACTCCTGTCTTATTTTAAGAACTTTTATTAGTCATATTTGCTTATATATTTTTTTATTCAAGAAAAGTAGGATTAAGGCGGGCTGATTATATAGTATATATTGACAGCGAAAATAATTTTATTTTTCGGTTTGCTTCGACTACAAGCATTCTTTATTAATGTAAATAACATATCTTGTGTGCTTCGCTTAGCTTAGCACGCTCCAATTGTAAATAGCAAGTACCATTTATAACTTGAGCATAATYAATAAACATCTTGTGTGCTTCGCCTAYTGCMAAGCACTCCTTAATTRTAAATAAAAAAATCTTGTGTGCTTTGATTAGCCGAGTACTCTCTACTTGTAAATAGCAATTAATATTTWGTAATAYATATTTTGTAAATAAATATTTTTGCTGGTTTAAAAAGTGTTTTAGTTTTGATCCCAGTCTCTTTCGGTCTTTGCTTTCAAAACTTCCGTAATGGGGAATGGGTATCAGTGCAKCGTATTAMCATCCATTTCAAATTTGTGATTTACTTTTKCAGCTGACTGTATAGGAAGCGACGGGACAGTAACTTCATCAATTTATCACAAAACTRAAATGGTCGTCAAAATAACAGSCATACGTCCAGTCATTAGGCCGT